CATTAGTTTAAGCCCTAAAAAATAATAACATTGATTATTGATTGTATGACTGGAAGCTTTAAAGGATTCTTTTGGCAATATATTTGCTTTTCTTTTGGTGTGTTTTTATTTTAAATATGTCTAAAGAAAATTAAAAAAATAAATCTCCTGTATGGAGATATACTTATTTAAAAGTAAAATAATAAACTGTGGATCTAAAAGTAGTTTCTCATTTGACAGTAAACATATTTTTAAGGTTATTTATAATGCATTTATGGGATCTTTAGTATATTTTGCAAAAACTTTGAGAGCTGTTGTAAGCATGTAATGAAAATGAAAATAGCCTTCATCCAACAAGGTGTGCTGATGAAGATTCTCAGTCATCCAGGTCATAGTCATTCCAAAAGACTTAAAAATCAAACCACTGGACTTTGTTTCCAAGTTTGAAGAAGTTTCGCTTCCCACCCAGGAAGCTTTTTCAATTCAACATTTTTTTAAATAATTTTTTTCCTCATACTTCCCTATTCCCTAAAATAAATCTTTACATCTGCAACAAAAATCCCCTTTTTTTTTTTTTTTTTTTTTATTTTTTTTACAAATGTATCGAATGTGCTTACCAATAATTGACCCAGCACAATACCTTTGGACATAATAAAATATGTAAACATTAGACAGCTCTAATAGCAGAAATAAGCCTGTCTGCACAGATCACCTGTCAGAAATAGCAATTAATTTTAGCTTTGACACCTAATTAGAATGCCAAATCAAACAACACAAGAAACCCTAAACTGCTTACTCAGCGCGATATTTCAAAAATGTTGCAAAGGTAGGAATAAAAGCAAAACAATAAACTATTTTCGCCCCAAACTACCTCTTTTGTCACTGTCCACTCATTGTCATCAGGCTAACAGAGCCCCTCCCTAGAGCTACTACCATGTCTGCGTACCATTTTAGCTTTAATCCGACTCTATTCTTTTTAGTGATCGTCATCATAACACTTATAAAATAAAAATCACAACTTTCACAACTTTGAAACTTAAAGCCAACTTATAAAAGCCGAAATTAAACGACAAAACGGACTATTTACTGTGGCTAGCAATAGCCTTCCTTATTAATCAAAATTAGCCACGTAGCTACAGAAATCATCCTTCACAACTAAATAGTAACACAAGTAAAAAAAAAAAAACTAAATATGTTTACATGTATGCCTTTATTGGTTTGTCACGGTAATGTTCAGTTTTTCTTGCAACAACCGTTTAACCAAAAGCTCAACCTGGAAGGACAGGGTTAGCTTAGATGCTAGTTAACCGGTAGACACGGTGCTTATGAGCTATGGCCGAATAACTGCTAGTTTTTAGGTTCACGCTGCTGGAAAAAAAGTGTAAGGGTTTGCGACATTTGTTATAATTACTTTAATGGTGAAACTTGGGTAACAAACCTTGAAGCAGCCTTCCAACTTGACCACCAAACCTGTATCAACAAAACAATTGCCCTGCCAGCGCAACTACAGATACCGAAAAGGTCCAAAAGAGTAAATAAACAGTAAGCGATTAACGACAGGTGCAAAGTAAAAAAAGAAGAAAGAAAAGATTCTCTATCATTATTTGATACTCACTTCTACACAAATGTTTTAAACAGCAGGATTTATACTTTTACTTGAGTAATAAACATTAACACTTTTGACACCTCTGCTATTGGGTATGTTCCGATTGTGCTACTGCCTTGCACAAAGTGCATGTAAGAAAAGGAAAACACAAACCTGTGTCCTAAACCTTCTGTTTTATTTCAGATATACAGCTAAATGACTGAAACCTCAGACACAGTTGGATGATTATCAGGTCATTTATCCCAAACACACATCCAACAGGGTCTCTGTGCAGATAAATCAGGTTAACATCAGGGCTCCTTTAATGCTTTCACCTCAATTACACTTAAAATGTATAGGCTATGCATAAAGGTTCTGTGTGTAATTTAAAAGTTGGTCAAAAATTCTGTCATAGAAATGAGAGGCCAGACATTGCTTTTTATTTTATTGATCATATGTAATATTCTAATTTCCTGAGACACTAAACTTCAGATTTTCAAGCAAGCCTAAATAATATGGTCACAAGAATATATTTTACTCCACTACTATTGAATCTATGAGACTTTCTGTTTCTAAAATGAGTGACTCAAAAATACTTTTCCATGATATTCTAACATTTTGGGATGAACCTCTAAGGTGTGCAATGTGTGTAATATTTATAAAGGGAAACATTCAATAGATAAAATGTTCCACTGCAGAGACAAAAAGAATGCAAGATAAAGAAAACATACAACCTTAAGCAAAAGATGTACAAAATTTATTATAAACATGGTCGTAAGCAAATAAGTAAATAAATTCACCTACCTACATTTGGGTAAAGAACAAAAAAAGCAGGTTTTACAGTGTATACCAGCATCTGTTTCAATATCAGCTTCCAAGTTCTGTTCCAAAAGAGCCCAACCATATTTACATATGCTTGTATCAACAAATGATAGGGTTAAATATAAAAAATATTACTTAAAGAGTACAAAAAAAATTATATATTTACCTTTCCTGAATAATATATGCTAGTTTATCTATACATTGTTCATTATTAAGGTTTGTACGTATAATCTTTAGTGTTAGACCCTTAAGATGGCCTCAGATCTTATAACTATTTTGCTTCATTTAAAAGGAGCTTCCAAGTTGTACAGACGTACAGGTGCTGGTCATAAAATTAGAATATCATGAAAAAGTAGATTGATTTCAGTAATTCCATTTAAAAAGTGAAACTTGTATATTATATTCATACATTACATACAAACTCATATATTTCAGATGTTTATTTTGTTTAATTTTGATGATTACAAATGACAACAAATGAAAATCTCAAATTCATCATATCAGAAAATTAGAATATTGTGAAAAGGTTCAAAATTGATGGCCCCTGGTGCCACACTCTAATCAGCTAATTAACTCAAACCACCTGCAAAAGCCTTTAAATGGTCTTTCAGTCTAGTTCTATAGGCTACACAATCATGGGGAAGACTGCTGACTTGACAGTTGTCCAAAAGACGACCATCGACACCTTGCACAAGGAGGGCAAGACACAAAAGGTCATCGCTAAAGAGGCTGGCTGTTCACAGAGCTCAGTGTCCAAGCACATTAATAGAGAGGCGAAGGGAAGGAAAAGATGTGGTCGAAAAAAGTGTACAAGCAAGAGAGATAACCGCACCCTGGAGAGGATTGTGAAACAAAACCCATTCAAAAATGTGGGGGAGATTCACAAAGAGTGGACTGCAGCTGGAGTGAGTGCTTCAAGAACCACCACACACAGACGTATGAAAGACATGGGTTTCTGCTGTCGCATTCCTTGTGTCAAGCCACTCTTGAACCACAGACAGCGTCAGAAGCGTCTTGCCTGGGCTAAAGAGAAACAGGACTGGACTGCTGGTGAGTGGTCCAAAGTCATGTTCTCTGATGAAAGTAAATTTTGCATTTCCTTTGGAAATCAAGGTCCCAGAGTCTGGAGGAAAAGAAGAGAGGCACTTCATCCACGTTGCTTGAAGTCCAGTGTAAAGTTTCCACAGTCAGTGATGGTTTGGGGTGCCATGTCATCTGCTGGTGTTGGTCCATTGTGTTTTCTGAGGTCCAGGGTCAACGCAGCCACATACCAGGAAGTTTTAGAGCACTTCATGCTTCCTGCAGCTGACCAACTTTTTGGAGATGCAGATTTCATTTTCCAACAGGACTTGGCACCTGCACACAGTGCCAAAGCTACCAGTACCTGGTTGAAGGACCATGGTATCCCTGTTCTTAATTGGCCAGCAAACTCTCCTGACCTTAACCCCATAGAAAATCTATGGGGTATTGTGAAGAAGAAGATGCAATACACCAGACCCAACAATTCAGAAGAGCTAAAAGCCACTATTAGAGCAACCTGGGCTATCATAACACCTGAGCAGTGCCACAGACTGATCGACTCCATGCCACGCCGCATTGCTGCAGTAATACAGGCCAAAGGAGGCCCAACTAAATACTGAGTGCTGTACATGCTCATACTTTTCATGTTCATACTTTTCAGTTGGCCAACATTTCTATAAATCCTTTGTTTTTATTGGTCTTCAGTAATATTCTAATTTTCTGATATGATGAATTTGAGATTTTCATTTGTTGTCATTTGTAATCATCAAAATTAAACAAAATAAAAATTTTTCATGATATTCTAATTTTATGACCAGCACCTGTATATCAACACAAAATAATACTGTGCAAAAGTCTTCAAACACCTCTTCTCTCTAGAATCTTGGTTTTAAAAAATATGGTTTCTAGTTCTTTTTTTTTTCTATTTTACTAGAAGAAAATAGTTCCTAACCACACCAGATGATTTTTTTAGCTTTGTTTTACAACTATTTGTAATTTTTCCACATAAAATGCACCTTACAGAATGGAGAGAGAAAATGCAGTCTTCAGAATACCAGAAATCTAGCAAAAAACACCAAACAGATCTGTCAAAAACAAAAGGCAAATAGGTCTTTGAAGGCATTCTAAGGAAAGTAAAACAAGGATGAGGACAGATCATGTAATCAGTCAATATTTAAGAAAGCTTCCTGCCCCTATTGTATTGGTTTCCGTGATGCCTAGCCTTCAACCAGCTGAAGAACTACTATGTGCAAATATCAGTTCACATCTACATAGAAATCCAAATATTTTGGGGAGTAATGGAATGGCACATGGAAATCGATTCACTTCAGAGCCGTTGCTAGGGCAGTAAAATATGAAATACAGGAAGAAAAAAATCAAACGTCAAAACAAAACAGAAAATTGGTATCTGCAGAGGTTCAACCACAGCATTATAAATCAGTGTTATCTTGACTGGTAAACAAGTCAGTCAGTGTGAAAACCATGAACACTTAAAGGTTTTTTTTGTTGTTTTTTTTTTTTAGAAATTTGCAGATGTTTTAATAGATTTTTTCCAGGCAGGATGAGGGACATTTCAAGATTTTTGCACATTTCCTTTTTTTTTTTTTTTCATTTTAGCCTAGGTGTCTGATTTACTATTCCTCTTCCTGACATCTCCATCAACCTGAGAATTGGCTCCATCTTCCAGTTCCGACAGTGCTGGACCGACTTTGCTGTTATCCTCACTTCCACTGTTGGTATGCAGAGAATGCAGGATCTGTTCACTGGGGCGTTTCCATGGCGTTCGAGTGGCAATCCAGAGGATAAGAGCCCCAAAAACAACCAGCAGGACTCCTAGAACATTTACAAAGATCGCTTCTGGAGGAGAGTCCTTATACTTAGGGTTACTCCTGTAGTATAAAAAAAAAAACATTAAAAGTTATTTAACAAAAAAACCTTCATATATAGAATTAATGCATTTATATTTTTATAAAAACTTACAGGCCAAAGATGAGTTTCTCTGTAATTCCCATGAGAGCAACTGCTATCACACTGGTGAAAAGAAAAAGACCGCTGTAGACATGGATGGGCATAAAAGCTTCTCTCCAAGACACAGGTGTAACTGGTATCAGGTATAGGCCGATTCCCAGAACAAGCTGCCCTTTCATGGAGGAGAGGGAGAAAAAAAACAACATTATCAACGCTTCGGTCATGAAACTTTTTTTTTAACCATGACTTTGGGTTACAGACATGACAAATGAACACGAAAAACAAAGATCGACAACAGCTGAAAAAGTATATTAAAAGCATCAAAATCAGGTATTTTTAACAAGTTAGGAAATGATAAAGAGGTCTATTTACCTGCAGACCATATAGTATGACTGCTGTCAGGCCCAGCCAGCTGTGCAGACTGTACATGTTGGGGATTTTGGCAGCGTTGTGGAAGTCAAACACTGCCACCATGGAAATAATGGCCAAAATGAAAGCTGTTAAGTTCAAACCTGCGTGGATGAACTTCATCACCAGTTTGCTGCATCGCCAGGTCCAGGGAAGCCTGTAGACAATAATGGCTGCAAGAGGAGATCAGTGGATCTGTTAATGTCGGTAATCACGTGACCATTAAAACAGCTGACTCATGTGGCTAGATCCTAGCTGGACTAAGTTACACATTTTTAAGGTTATAGCATGTATAGCATAACATGTTGCCTGCTGATAAATCAGACATTGAAAAAGTATTTAAAACCCTTGGACCTCAATGTATTCTTTTCAGACATATGTCATTGTAAAACAGAGAAGCATTACAATTTAATAAAAGGAAAAGGATGCAGGAGTTTGAAAATAAAACATTTCGCTGCGGTTGCAGATTTCTGCTAATTTTTCTTTACAATCAGTAATTGGAAATAGTCTCTAAATATAAATGTTCAAGTGTAGCCAAATTGATCTTTACTTTGACTAGGCCATTCTAATGGGCTTTTATCTCAACCACTCATTTGCACCATCTGTGATTTTATGGCTGTAGTCAAACCTTTTACAGGGATGTTCTAGGGTTGCTCTGTATTTTACCAACTATTTTAACATTAACTTACAATAAGCCAGCTTCGTTTAAACCAACAATTGGGCACTGCAGCGTTAGTTTTCTGCCACACACTGCACTCTTATCTCACCCAAGATCTTCATTCCAAAGGGTTGGAATCCCTCCTCAACTCTTCCAGATGTTGGTAGTCTCCTAGGTGTTTTTTTTAGCACTGCGGTCAAGACTTTCTGCTTGCCACTCTTCCATAAACAGCAGATTTAGAAGTACATAACTTCTGATGAAAAGTGCTTTATAAGATTTTCACACTTTAACCTTACTCAGATGGAACACCTAAACTACATCTTTCCTGACCTGACTGCTGGTTTTCTTGGTGTTCATGATTCTGTTACTTCACTAATGTTCCCCAAACAAACGCTTATTTCTTTTAACTTGTAATCGTTAAACTGGGTTTAAGTTTATCTAAAATTAAGCAGGGGCTCAACAAAATGCTTGCAACAATTTTCATATCCTCTTCCTCCAATTTCAGCGTTATGTTGGACTTTCTTTGTTGACATATCCCATCTAAAATAGCTAAATAATGAAATTTATAGCGAAAACAGAATGAAAAAAATCAACAACTCCCTCCTCACTGGGATTCTTCAGGATAAACAGTCTTATTTAACTTGGCTTCTCATAGTAAAACAGCCACATTCCTGAAAGGAAAGCGTTCATCTCACCAATGCCCTGCAGGAAAATGAAGCCTGTAACGATCAGCACCGGATGCCAGTTGAACTCAGCCAGTCCTCCGTCCCAGGCCAGGCCTTCCTTAAAGTGGAGAACCCATCTCAGCACAAATATTACGGCGACAAACCCGACGGCTGCGGCTCCAGACAAGGCGAACAGGAACTGTTTCTTATTCTCCATCGAGCCAGAAGATCAACAGCAGCAGGACGGAGAGGGGGATGAGCAGCAGGGAGAAGGAGCGTCTGCACGGCAGCAGCTGTTTTCAAACATCCCCAAACTATTTCAAGTGTGGAGGCTGGAGTAGGTGGTCACGTGACAGGGCGCTACGCAGAGAGGTTTGGTAACTTCAGCCGTTACAAAAGCGACCGAACCTCACATTTATGCTGTGTCATCCTCTGACCTCAGCTTAGCACTTAGCCTTTAAGTGTTTTTCTCTTTTTGCTGTCGACCACAGGCTCGAATGAGTCAAACCTGAATGATATAACTTTTGGAGAAGCAGTTAAAAGCCATTATTAAGGCGAGTTTGTAGGGGCCATATGGCTCTCTGCCCGGGGCGATATGAAATGGGGGCGTTATTAGCTTAGGGTGGCCAGACCTCCTTTTTCCCCCGGACATTTCCAATTTTTATACCAAAAAAAATGTCCGGGGGGAATTACAAAATCGTCTGGGATTTTGGTCGACTACAGTGCAGCAGAAGCTTTCAGGTCATGTGACCTACTGACTCAATTTGTTGTTTGTGCATCTGTTTCATCTGTTTTAAAAGATTTTTTATAATAAAAAAAAACTACGATACAGTGTTAGATATACTAGATATACTGTTATATATACTGTAATATATAAATCAATAGTTTCCAGGTCATGTGACCCGTTGACTCCAAATCTGTGTCAAATTGTTCTACTACTTTAGCCTGATGAAGCACATTCATTTGTATTCATTTTAAGCCTTCTATTTTATTCAATAAAAAACAAACTGTCCTCCTTTTGAGAAACCCAAATCTGTTCACCCTATATTGGATGTAATGAAATAAAAGGATTCTTATGTTGGCTCTTGTGCTTCCAATAGGGCTTGGTCGTCAAGACGTAAGCACTTTGCGTTGCCGCCATATTGACGGCCTCTTTTACCGCGGCTCAGACTACTGCCTATGACTACCGCATACTGTACTCCTTCTCAGCCTGATTAATTTCACTTTAACTTGATTTCAACCATGGTAAACCGTTGCTGTATTGTGGGCTTTAACAGCTCAACACATGATCGCCATGGGAAAAACATAGAAAATGGGTTAACTTTCCACCGCTTTCCTGCCTGGAGGCGTAACCATGGAGACCAAGTGTCCGAGATAAGAGTCGTCGGCTAGCTTGGATCGCGGCTGTAAAACGACCGAACACAACTTTCCACAGTATCCAGATGTCAATGAGAGTGTGTTTCCTGCATTTTCATTCTGGTAAGTTAAAGATGCACGGTTTTATTTTATAGCCTACTTTGTTTCTTTCCTTCAAAGTTGGGATCTTTTACGGGAAAATAAAAAAACGGCAGCGGGAAAAGGCTCAAATACGCGAGAAACCCAGAGGGTTTAGGGAGGGTTGGCAGTTAACGTTACTAACTACACCTTTGAAACACATAGCAACTAGTTAAAAGTACATTACATGCGTGAGTGGTTGTTAGCATTAGCGGTTAGCAGTTGCTAAACTAGCAGGTTCCAGAGCCCGTCTGATCACAGCTTACCTTCGTACGGATTACTGTGTTCCCACTGTTTGCTGGCTTTATGATATGCAGCTCCTGAACCCATCCATTCATGAACTGCATATGAGACTCCAAGGACTTGTAGCTTCGGAACTGTTTTGAAGTATAGGCGCTCACTCATCGGTGCTCCACTCATTGTTTGGAACTTCATATGGATCCAAATTATTAATAATGCTGATTTTGTCAACATACCGGTCCGTGGCTTCTCTATTTAATGTGTCCTGGTAAATTCCAGATCTTTTTCGGGATTTTAACATCTTTTTTCTCTCTACTTCTACGTCTCTTCTTTCAACAACGTTGTATCAGAGCTATGTTTACGTTTGCGTAGCCGTCAATATGACCGCGACGTCCCACAATGCAACGTGGATCCCGAGCCCTATCAGTGGGTTCTGAAGGTCCCCTTGTGTTTCACAAGATAAATGTTTCTGAACCATGTGAGGCTAAAGGCTAGCCTGATAAACCAGACTAAGGCTACGTTCACACTGCAGGCCTTGATGCTCAATTCAAATTTTTTGTGAAATCCTATTTTTTTTGCGTTGCCGTTCACATTTCCAAATAAATGCGACTTGTATGTGATGTCCTGTGTGAACTGCATTCATACAGCTTAAGTGTCCCACATGCGCAGTAGAGGTCACAACGTCACAAGCCAGTGTGCTTCGTGTTTTCGGAAGTAAACATGGATGTTAGTACTGGAGAACATCTAGAGATCTTTCCGCACCTTAAAAACTCAATCTTTTTAAAATGGTTAAAAGCAAAAATACTGCTCTCCGCATCATTGTCTGCCATGGTGGTTGTTTTTCTTGCCGCTTCTGTGTAGCAAGAAGCAGAATAGTGACCTATGTCAGATACTAATGGTTTTCAGGTCGAATGAATGCGACCTGGCCGTTCACACACAGGTCGCATTTGAAAAGATCAGATTCGTATCAGATTTAGGACCACTTAGTGAAGCGGTCTGGGTCGGATGAGAAGGACCTCGCTGCAGCAAACAGAAAGGGGCGGAGACGGACCTTTCCGTCAGTCCCATACCTTATTTGGAAATGGGACTATTGCATTCCGGAAATGAAGGGGGCGCTATTTTTATAATCACTAGTATAAATGCCTTAAAGACGCGGGGTTAAGAGGAAAGGAAGAAGAAAGAAATAAGTTTGAAAAGTTTTTGCACTGGTGTTCGGCACACGATCCATAATGCAAAACCCACAAAATCAGGTAATTTTACCTTCTTAAAAATTTTTTCACATAGTAAATTAATACGCTTTTCTAGATTCAGTTTTTTAAGAAAACCTTCAATTTGTCCTTTTTAAAAGGTCCAGAGAAGAACTACAAAAGGAGAGAAAGCGGAAAAAAGTTAATGAGAGGGCAAAATGTGAGGTAAGCTGTAGCTAAAATTCATCACTTTGTTGTTTTAAGTCATAGAATTTGTATTATGTCCATTCACAGTGTACTTTTGTTCTATGCTTATTTTTTTAAGTCTGAAAGAAAATCAGTATAGAAGAATTAAAAGGGTTGAAGCAGTTTTGATGTTATTTGGATTTGCATTCATCTTTCACTTAGAACATATCTGTATTTTTACAGACTCTGTGTGCTGATGACCACACCTATGCCAAAGGAGCCGAGGCACAAATTGAGGTTCATTTTTTAAATTTACGCATAACTAGTAATTTTGATTTGTGTATCTTTATGTGCAAATGAGACTAAAACCCTAAATGATTTTATTTTATTTTATTTTTTTTATTAAAATTCATTATTTGGACAACTTTTTTTTATATCATTAGAGATGAAAGGATAAGATACTGAGAGATATAAAGTATTAATTATTGTTTAATGCTCTTCACCATGCAGGTAGAAAGGATACCGCCAATCTTACAGGTAAGATTCATTCATAATCATATGTATCATCCATTCTTCCTGTATTACAGTCTTGCAATGCACCTGTTTTTTATTTTGTTTGTTTTTTTATTTTTTTATTTTCAGATGCGGAGGAGAGGAGAGTACCCTCGTTACTACTGTGATGGCATACCTGGACTTTGCCCTGAGTGCCAACATTGAATTCAAAGAAAATATAAGTTGCTTTCCACAATCTGTCACATATTGTTAGTTTTTTTTGTGACATGCCATTTGAAATCGTTTCTGATAAAGAATATTTACCTTTTGACTTGTGCAGTCCTCCTTTTTCATAATGTGTTCTTTCAATATTATTTACATTTTTGACAGTTCCTTTTGTTGTAGCTCAGTTGATTTACATCATTTAGTTTTCATAGAAATGGTGTCGTTTCCACAAAGTTACATTGTGGCTGTAATTTGTTGGAGAGACAGTAGAACCAATAAAGTAGTTGTAAATATATTGTAACAGCGTTGTTTAACAATTGGAAAATTTTAAATGCAAGCAAAGCTAATAACTTGCAATATACAATGTTTCCTATACATTTTTGAACAATGACTGGAATCAATACAAATTTTCTTTACAAACCTGACATACAGACAAGTTGTTTATGTTTTAACAGTTAGAATCAACTTGTTTTATGTAATAAAAAATAAGTTGCAGAAACATATTGTTCAGATACAAACATAAGATTAATCGAGCAAAGCGAAGGTGTAATCAGGGTGGAGGTGATGGAAGCTCAGGTGAGGAGCAGTTGCACACATCAAGCTGGACTTTATGAAGGGTGAAGGACTTGAGACCGGCGCCGTTAGGCTGGGAGGGAGGCACCTGAGCAGGTGATTGGCTGAGCAGGTGAGATGAAGACAGACTTTATTCAAAAAGGTTTTCATGTAAAAAAAAATATCATTCTCTCTGGTGGTTACCAGTACAGTGTCTACTGCCGGGATCAGAAAGTTGAAGATTATTGTCAAATGAACTTTCTAAAACCTACTTTCTGTGCGAGTCTTTCCAGGTTGAGGCTACATTTAAGGTTTTAATTAATCACTTTGGGTTTTGCTACAATTGGATATTCATGTTTTTGGAGTGCAGTTCATGAATTTATTGCAATTGATAAAATTAATATGGTATTTCTAAATGGAATAGTGGGACACCAGTCAGTTTACTAGTTGAGCTGGAGTCCTTATAGGAGATAATAATTGAGCCAGGTCACCTGCAACCAAGTATATTCTAGTTACCGAATGGCACTTGTTAAAAGTTCAAAAGTCCTTTGGTTTGTTTGTAAATTATATTCACAATGAGAATAATAAGAAAAAATATTTGGCAAATAAACAACAAAAGTGCACCGTGAATGGACGTACTAAGTTGGCCAAAATTGTCGACTAAATGTTTTACAGACCAAACCTCTTTTCCATCTAGTTCTTATTAAATAAGCCAAAGGCTATTATATTTTAGATTTTAACTTATTTATTTTAAGAGTACCGTTCACAACATCAAAATATATTATTTGAACTTCAGCACCAGCATGTATTTGTTTATATCTATTTTCTTAATCAGCGATGGACTAGGGATCTGTCCAGGGTCAGCAGCCTTCATGACCCCACTTGAGGATAATTCATAAAAATTAATGGATGGATAAATGTGCTCTTAATGTAATGTACATTTGTCTCCAAAATATTGATTTTATTTTATTTTTTATGACTTTTGTTAGAGATATATAGGGTGTAAGGATAGATAAATACATCTCCATAATGATTCCTTATTGTTGCTTATTTTAGATTGTTTGTTACTAAGATAATTTTAAATAAAGATTTCAAAATAAAAAAGGGACATAACACGTGACAGACATGCCACGTGACATATCACGTTTTGTAGCCTTTTCTTTACTGTTTAATTAGTATTTTTAATGTTGAAAGTGTTCTTGGGTGTTTTGAAAGGCGTTGTCAAATAAAATACGTTATTATTATAATTATTATGAAACGGTCGGTACAGAAAATA